TGCCAGTCGGGGACCTGCATCTCACGCAAACCGAGAATCTGGGGGTCGGGTCTGTAGAAACAGCACCCCCACTCATTCCTTACCCTTGAGATGCGTTCTTAAGACCGTCTGTGTCAAATTCTAGGAGTGCCTTCTATTCTGAGCATCAGGTTGCTGTTTCCAGGTCTTAAAACGAGTGACACTCTGCCCTCCCATCTCCAGCACAGAAGGCTCTCGTTCTGTCCCTTCTCAGCCAGGACAGTAAAAGGAAAATGAAACCATAGCTGAGCAAAACCATGATTGAGTCCTGTATAGAATTAATAGCCTGAAGACATGTCCAACCTGAAGATCAAGTGTGCCCCCTGTAACTATGAACGTGGCTGATACAAAACTGTAACTTATTTAAAACATCAAAACATCGTTAGATTTTTTTTTCTCCTGGCAAGGGAGGAGGAAATTTTATGGGGGAAAAATGTCATTGAGCAGTTCTGAAGCTCGGACTTTGTAGATGACAATGCTGTGTCACAATGTCAAACAGTTGGATGCACCCACAAATTTAAGTCATGTTTCTGTATAGATTTTTAAGAATGGTGTGTGTGTGTGTTAAAAGAAGAAAGTGTTAATATTTGGGAGAAAGAAGGAGACAGTAAGAAGGAGGGACAGAAGGGTGGCGAGCAAAAATTGAGCAAAATATAATGATGCATATGTAATGAAATTATCACAGTGAACCCCATTACACAGTAGCATGGCTTAGTGCCCCCTAGTGGCTTAAGTGAGAATCCAGCAGGATCCTGTCCCACACTGGAAGATGCAGACAGAACAGAGAGCTAACAGAACAGAGAGTTACAAGACTCATCACTTCCAATTAGAGGGCCCTGCCTTCCCTGGCACACACTCCCACATTTTACCACTGTGGTAAACACTCCCACATTTAGAAGAATGCCAGAAGGGGTGACAACTTGGGAGCCTTAGTCAGAAAGATCTCTTGAGCCCAAACAACATAACAAGACCCACCCTTCTGTTAAAAACTATTATTTTAAGCAGAAATAAAGCTCAGTGGGTAAAGGTATTGCCACCAAGTCTGACAACCTGAGTTCAGTTGTCCAGGACCCACATGATGGAAAGAGAAAACCAGCTCCACAATATTGTCTGATTGTCCCATGTAATTAATAATAATAATAGATGTATCAATTATAAAATTTTCAAATATAAAACATACGATGACAGGTTAAAATTTGTGTCAGTCCAGCCTGAGACACTCCTGCATCTTTATTAATTGTTCCCTCCTTGTTTTACAAAGCCAATCTTTAGTATAGATGCTACTGTTTATCGGTAGGTATTTTTTTTTTCAGAATAAATTTGAGTTTGTCAGCATTGATGTATCCTACCAGGAGTTAGAGCTAAGTGATAGACTGCTTTCCTGACCTACACAAGGTGCTGGATATTTGATAGTTCATTAGCAGATGCTCAGTCCAGCTAGTGTTCAGGGCTGAAGAGCCAGCCAGTTTCCATCAAACAAGCAGTATAAATAAGCCCCTGTACCTCTGAGAACCAAGTCAGCCTTCATAGGAGCTGCTGGTTTTGCATGCTACATTCATGAGCTCAGGCAGTTTTCTGTTTGCCTGTTGCTAATGACGATTCCTGAATGTGTTTGACATTTCACTTGGCTTTGGAAGGACTTTCATGCCTCCCTGTGCTTTCTTCCCTCAAGCTGCCTTGAGCTAATTAGCCTATTCCCTCAAGGGCTGGGCCTACTACTATATGCAAATGCTCTCATTTCCAATTCTGACATATCACTCTTGCATGCACGTCCCTAATGAAATCCTGGGGCGTTTTATGGGGCAGTGCACCTGTGCTGCCAGCAGAGGCCGCATGGAGCAGTTCTCTGAGTAAACTTCAGCAATCATTATGTTCCCTTGCCTGCCTGTGTAAGAAAGTGGGGCCTGGGCTGGAAAGAGAGCTCAGTAGTTAAGAGCACTGGTTGCTCTTTGCAGCGGACCCACATTTCAGACAGCAAAAAGTAACAGCACTTTTGATGCTTTGGGGTTTGATTTTATTCTGTCCTTGCAATGGATTTGTAAACACTGGGTACAAATGATGCTCTGTGTTTAATAGGAGACAGTCATACTAAATAAAGTTATTTGAAACACAATTCCTCATCCACCTTGGGGCTTTTATACATGCTCAGGCAAAGCTGTTTTTAATTTCTTCAGCATAAATAACTTCAGTCTTATTACTTGTTTCTGTCCCTATGTCTAATGGCTCTCTTGTCACTGTGAGAGATCCTTTTCTTATTGAAGTAACTCTGGTGTTCAGAAACCAAATGTCTAGAACTCCATGTTCTAGTATGCCTGAGCATTCTTAGTTTCCATCTACTTGACCAAACTCAGGAGGGAGGGCCAGCGTCTTGTGTCATTTGTCACCTCGCTGTTGTATTTCTTGGTGATGTTGAAACGAAACAAGAGCTGTTAGACTACTGCTACCCCCACTAGAGTTTGAAACCATGTGGAAAAATCTGAAGCTGGGACTGGAGAGGTGGCTGGGTGAGAAAGCATTTACCACACAAGTGTGAGTTTGGTTCCCCGGAACCCATGTAAGAGCTGAACAATACACCGTGTGTCTGTAATCCCAGCACTCCTATGACAGGATGGAATCTAGACACGAGAATTCTTGGGAGCTCACAGACTGTCTTCCACAATAGTGATGAGACCCCATCTCAAGCAAGGTGGAAGGTGAGACCTGATCCCTAAAGTTGTCCTTCGACCCCTGCATGTACGCTGTGACATGCTAACACATACACACTCACTATAAACTCATGAGTGGAGTGATACAGGGAGGAGGAGCAGAGCAAAGGGCTGTGTCGCATTGTGGGTCTTGCTGTTGCTTCAACATGGACACAGCTTGAATTGCTGAAGACTGGGAGCTTACAGTATGAGTCTGGTCTTTATTTTGGAAAGACTTAGAGCTTTTTTTTGGTTTGATTGTTTTGTTTGTTTGCTTGCTTACTTGCTTGCTCTTTTCCTCTGTTTAGACAGGGTCTTTCCAAGCTGGCCTAGAACATACTGTATAGCTCAGGCTAGTTTATAACATCCCAGTTTTCTTTCCTATGCCTCCCAAGGACTGAGATTACAGCATTCATTGCCACACCCAGTTTTGGGGGGAGGTGGGTCTGTTTTAAAGTCAGATCACAAGAAAGAGAATCTGAGGAGGAAACGTATTCAGGTCCCAACCCCAGAAATGCAGCTCCCCAGATCAGAGCCGTTGAAGTTGCTTCCCTCTCCAGCTTCTCCCTTTGGACAGCATTGTCACCTATTGCTGGCATGCTCCACAGTGGTCACCTTGAAAGTCTACCTCATGCCAGGTGGACGTGGTTCACACGATGGTGGTGACTCAGAATTCAGTGTCTCTGTGAGACTGAGATAGGATGGTTCCACAAGAGTTCCTTACATCACCACATGGCTGTGTTTGGACACATAGGTGTGATTTGTTTGGCACATATCTCATTCCCTGCTCATAGTGAGCTGGCCCCTTCCAGGGGAGGAGGAGGAGATGGTATGGAAAGAATATCCAAAGACAAATTTGGACAGGGAGAGATACAGATGAGGCAAGTGCAAGTGCCTCACTCTTAATTAAGAAAACTTTCAAAGTCTTGGCTTTATTTCATTTACATATTTGTATATTTATGTATGCATCATTCTTATGAGATAGCATCTTATATGTAGCCCAGGAAAGCCTCAAGTTTATGGTCATCCTCCTGCCTCAGCCTTCAAAGTGCTGGAATTACATGCATGAGTCACCATGTCAGGCTTGATCTTATATATTGTGTTTGTTTGAGATTTTTTTTAAAAGCTAAAATTATTTTTGTAACTTTCTCAAAGATTTCTTGGTGTTGCCCTGTAAATTACTGTACTTGGAATTCTCTTGAGACCTCTAATGAGTAGAATTGTTTTGGGGCCGCTGCTGTTGAGTTGGGATATATAAATGTATGTGGGGGAGGTGCTGTTAGGAAAGGGGACACCACCCTGACACCAGGTGAAATCTTAATGACATTGGCTCTGATATCTAAAGATGGAGAAATGGCCTGAAGACCCACCACGCATCTCTATTCCAAACCTGCACCTTCCCCAAGCTCAGTTCTTGGGATCTCATTTGACTGAGATAAAATTTCTCAGGTGATGAGGAATGGCACTAACCTTTTTGTGAAATGAATTTACAAAATACATCATCTACAAAAACAAAACAAAACAAAAAACAAAATCCAGGCAGAGTGCTGTACACCTGTGATCCCAGTACATGGGAGGCTGAGTCAGGAGGATGATCATGAATTCAAGGCCAGCCTCCATTACACAACCAATTTGAGTCCAGTCAGAGCAACAAGAGAGCCTTATAAAAAAGAAAAAGAAAAATTGATTATCTATCCACCCCAAGGGGAAGAGGAAAGAAAGTGTGGAGAAATGTTTGAGCTGCCTACTCTATTTTATTAAACAAGTACACCTGGGCTAGAGAGCTGGCTGGTGGTCAAGAGTTTACTGTTCTTGTAGGGGACCAGGTTCAGGTCTTAGCACCCAAATGGTAGTTTACAGCTGCCCATAATTCCAGTGGCAGGGCATCCAATGGCCTCTTCTGACCTCTGTGAGCACTGGCACATACATGCATAAACTCACACAGGCGCTCATGCACACACACACACACACACACACACACACACACAAATAAATCATAAGCAAATAATCAAATGTTTAAGAAGCATACACCCTTAAACTTACTTATTGATTCTTATTAGCTCAAATTAGCCTAGCTCCCATTTTATCTATTTTAACAGTTGGGCTATAATCTGCTTTTGGAATGCCTTCAGAATCCAGGGTCTCCTCTTAATCTTGCTAGTAACAAGGTCTTTGGTAGGAGAGTGGGTAGATTGGTTGGTTTGGCCTGATGGGGCTTTCCCCCAGAGCTGATGTTTTGGTTTTCTTCTCCCCCCTTCTCTCTTTCCTGTCCCACTCTTGGTCTCTTTCCCTTCTCAGAATCCGGAGCTGCTACTGCCAGCCTAGCAAACCCACGGGGAGATGATTCCTCATGAAGGGCCTGGATCCCCTACAGAAATCCAATGTGACTCTCTGTTTATCAGACTAAGATCAGTGCCAGCCAGACAGTGAAACAGCCACCGTGGAGGGGGGACGGCGAAAAATGAAATCCAACCAGGAGCGGAGCAATGAATGCCTGCCTCCCAAGAAACGTGAGATCCCCGCCACCAGCCGGCCCTCTGAGGAGAAGGCCGCTGCTCTGCCCAGCGACAACCACTGCGTGGAGGGTGTGGCATGGCTCCCCAGCACCCCTGGCAGTCGCGGCCATGGGGGTGGGCGGCTTGGGCCAGCAGGGACTTCCGGGGAGCTTGGTTTACAAGGAATGGGTTTACATAAAGCACTGTCCGCAGGGCTGGACTACTCCCCACCCAGTGCCCCCAGGTCAGTCCCCACAGCCACCACGCTGCCCGCAGTGTACCCTCCTCCTCAGTCAGGGACTCCGGTGTCTCCCGTGCAGTATGCCCACCTGTCACACACCTTCCAGTTCATCGGGTCCTCCCAGTACAGTGGGCCCTACGCTGGCTTTATCCCTTCCCAGCTAATCTCCCCATCAGGCAACCCGGTCACCAGTGCGGTGGCCTCAGCTGCAGGGGCCACCACTCCCTCACAGCGCTCCCAGCTGGAGGCCTATTCCACCCTGTTGGCCAACATGGGCAGTCTGAGCCAGGCACCAGGACATAAGGTCGAGCCCCCACCGCAGCAGCACCTCGGCAGGGCCGCGGGGCTCGTCGCCCCGGGGTCCCCTCCACCCACCCAGCAGAATCAGTACATTCATATTTCCGGCTCTCCACAGAGCTCTGGGCGGGCAGCATCTCCCCCACCCATGCCGGTCCACCTCCATCCCCATCAGACGATGATCCCGCACACACTCACCCTGGGGCCCTCGTCCCAGGTGGTCGTGCAATACAGCGACGCTGGAGGCCACTTTGTTCCTCGAGAGTCCACCAAAAAAGCAGAAAGCAGCAGGTTGCAGCAGGCCATGCAGGCCAAGGAAGTCCTGAATGGGGAGATGGAGAAGAGCCGGAGGTATGGGGCACCGCCCTCTGTGGAGCTGAGCCTGGGAAAGGCAAGCAGCAAGTCAGTGCCTCATCCCTATGAATCCAGGCATGTGGTGGTCCACCCAAGCCCAGCGGACTACAGCAGTCGTGATACCTCTGGGGTCCGTGGATCTGTGATGGTCCTGCCCAACAACAACACACCCTCAACCGACCTGGAGGCGCAGCAGGCCACACATCGCGAGGCCTCGCCATCCACCCTCAACGACAAGAGCAGCCTGCACTTAGGGAAGCCCAGCCACCGCTCCTACGCACTGTCCCCACACACGGTCATTCAGACAACTCACAGTGCGTCAGAGCCTCTCCCGGTGGGCCTGCCAGCCACAGCCTTCTATGCCGGGACTCAACCTCCGGTCATCGGCTACCTGAGTGGCCAGCAGCAAGCGATCACCTATGCCGGCAGCCTGCCCCAGCACCTGGTGATCCCAGGCACCCAGCCTCTGCTCATCCCCGTGGGCAGCCCTGACATGGACACAGCTGGGGCAGCCTCGGCCATAGTCACATCTTCGCCCCAGTTTGCTGCAGTGCCTCACACGTTTGTCACCACCGCCCTGCCCAAGAGCGAGAACTTCAACCCCGAGGCCCTGGTCACCCAGGCCGCCTACCCAGCCATGGTGCAGGCCCAGATCCACCTGCCGGTGGTGCAGTCGGTGGCGTCGCCTGCCACGGCACCACCCACGCTGCCGCCATATTTCATGAAAGGCTCGATCATCCAACTGGCCAACGGGGAGCTGAAGAAGGTGGAGGACCTGAAGACAGAGGACTTCATCCAGAGTGCAGAGATTAGCAATGACCTCAAGATCGACTCCAGCACAGTGGAGAGGATTGAGGACAGTCACAGCCCCGGTGTGGCCGTGATACAATTCGCCGTTGGTGAACATCGAGCCCAGGTAACCCTCACCAGGGTCAGTCAGGTAGGGGCCCCCTACCCTTACTCTGTCATCTCCTGGCAAAGTGATTGCTTCCGGCAGGTAGGGTTCCGGTTTACCTGGTACCATGGGGGGCGGTGCTTATAGTGATTCGTGGGCAAGGAAACTGAGAAGAATTGCCCTCCCGGTGATCTCCGTTAGGAAAGCTAGGGAATCCTGGCTATAGGCAGCCATGCTGCAGCTCCTTAAGAGAATGGATCCCAAAGATGTGTCTTGGGGCGGGGTTCTTGTCACTGGGATTTTAGGGGGTGGGGTAGTTTAATACCGTGTGACCTGGACTATGTGTCAGAAGTCGCAGAGTAGGAAAATGCAGGTACCCAGTATGTCCTCGACTTCACAATAGCTTAAAGGCGTTTGTGACCTCTGACCCTCCTGCCTCCAGTTCCAGAGCTCGGGGATTACAGGCATATGCCACCATGCCCAGTTTAATTCAGTATTGGAAATCAACCTCAGGGCCTCCTGCCTGCTAGGCAAGGACTCTCCCAGTTGAGCTACAGCTCAGCCTCCTTTCCAGAATCTTAAAACCATCTTCCAGCATTTTCTCCAGGGCCCATTTATGTACAGCTGCAGCTTTACTGGCCACATGGCCGAGGGTCAGCCAGGCTTGCTCCATCTAGGCACATCCCCTGAAGGACCAGATGACGGGCCTTGCTCAGGGTCACAGGCTGTGCTTCCCTGGAACTTTTTAACCTAGCATGGTCTTCGTGGGTAGGGACCACAGTCATTCAATATTCGGTAAGGATAACAAAGTTTTTTCTAGAAAGTTCTGATTCTGAGAAGATGATAGCATGTTTATTTAAATTGGATGTGTGCTGTTGCTCACTTACAGTATGAAGTGATGTCAGCAGAATGAATTCGCAGGCCCAGGGAGAACCATGGAAATAGGCCAGACTGTGTTCTTCCTCAGTTTTAGTCCTTAGAACATGACTCTGACCAGAGGCAAGAAGGCAGAACGTTAGTTTATTTGTTCCACTGCTGGGAATTGATCCCAGAGCCTGGCACATGCTAAGCGAGCACTCTGCCACTGAGATATGTTCCCAGCCCAGTTTTGAAAATAGTATTCTCTTCTGAGCAGCATTTTTCAGCAAGAGAATAAGTTCAGTCACTGTAGCCTGGCGATTGTACATCCAGGTCAAAACAGACCAAGACCCCAAGACTTAAGAGCCCACAGCCCTCTTCAGCCTGGAGGGACAACAATGTGTGTGTGTTTGCCCCTGCTCAGAACTCTGCAAAATTAATATGCAAGCCATGGAGAGACTGGCTTCCTTGTGTGGTCAGACCCTGCTCTCTCTCTTCCCCACAGCCTGACAGCAGGGATTCCAGCAGCACAATGAGCAGACAGAATGTTCCTTTCTCTCCTGGAATGGAAAGTGCTATTGCAAAGCCAGACAAGAGGCCTGTGATCTGCTAAAGAGACTGCTTGGGTTTCAGGCCATTAAAATAAAAGTGCAAGGCTCAGACCCAACCAGTGATTTGTGGCTTTGTTCTAGAAGCCTATCAGAGACTGGCTGACATCATTGCAGAGGAAATGCTCCACAAGCAATGCTTGCACAAGTGGCAGGTTTTGAATCACCAAGTCACAGGAGAGAAAGAGAGCAGCGGAATCTGGTGAGGGAGAGAGAATGACCGCAGACTTAATTGAGCTTGCAAGGGCTGCCCTCCCTCCCAGCTATCTCTCGAAGGACCTTTCTCCCTAGCCTGAGCAGACACACAGGTATCTGCAACTGGTTAGATAAAGCTCCCCCTGAGCACCCACAGGGAAATGTAGAAATAAACAAGTTGTTGAATTTGGGAAACAGAATCACGACCTCAGTTAGGGAGCTTGTGGGGGAAAGGATGGTTTTCTTAGGATAGAAATGGCTTTGTGACCCTGGGCATAAATAGCTTCATGAACAGAAAGCCCCAAGAATGGCTGGCTTCACACATCCTCCATGGCCCTTCCCAGAGCACACTGAGGGGTGGTGGGGAGAGCTAGAAGCCCAGGTGTGCATTTTGTGTGGGGCAAATGACTTTTCCCAATGCCCACCCCCACCCCCAGCTGATGGTCTCTCTTCTCTAAAACAGGCTAACCTAATGTTGCTACATAAAGACAATCTTCTGAGCTTGTAGGGTTTTGTGTTACTTTTTTAGGGTTCTCGTGTGTGTGTGTGTGTGTGTGTGTGTGTATGTGTGTGTCTATGGGGTGTATATGTGTGTCTTCATTTTGTGTGTGTGTGTCTATGGGGTGTATATATTTGTCTTCATTGTGTGTGTGTGTCTTTGGTATGTGCATGCATGTTTTCTATGAGGTGTGTGTGTGTGCACGTGTGTGTATCTATGGGGTGCATATGTGTGTCTTCATTGTGTCTGTGTGTGTGTCTTTGGTATGTGCATGCATGTTTTCTATGAGGTGTGTGTGTGTGCACGTGTATGTATCTATGGGGTGCATATGTGTGTCTTCATTGTGTCTGTGTGTGTGTCTTTGGTATGTGCATGCATGTTTTCTATGGGGTGTATGTGTGTGTGTGCATTTGAATCTAGTTCCTTGGACATCACCAGTCAAGAGCTCTCCCCCCTTCACCCTCCTCAGCTGTTTTTCTATGGGGTGTATGTGTGTGTGTGTGTGTGTCTTTGGTATGTGCATGCATGTTTTCTATGGGGTGTATGTGTGTGTGTGCATTTGAATCTAGTTCCTTGGACATCACCAGTCAAGAGCTCTCCCCCCTTCACCCTCCTCAGCTGTTTTTCTATGGGGTGTGTGTGTGTGTGTGTGTGTGTGTGCATTTGAATCTAGTTCCTTGGACATCACCAGTCAAGAGCTCTCCCCCCTTCACCCTCCTCAGCTGTTTTTCTATGGGGTGTATGTGTATGTGTGTGTGTGTGCATTTGAATCTAGTTCCTTGGACATCACCAGTCAAGAGCTCTCCCCCTTCACCCTCCTCAGCTGTTTTTCTATGGGGTGTATGTGTGTGTGTGTGTGTGTGTGTGTGTGTGTGTGTGCATTTGAATCTAGTTCCTTGGACATCACCAGTCAAGAGCTCTCCCCTTCACCCTCCTCAGCTGTTTTTCTATGGGGTGTATGTGTGTGTGTGTGTGTGTGTGTGTGTGCATTTGAATCTAGTTCCTTGGACATCACCAGTCAAGAGCTCTCCCCACTTCACCCTCCTCAGCTGTTTTTGCTTGTTTGTTTGTTTCTGTTTTAAACCTTTGCTTTTCTATCTTCCAGGACAAACTTGGTTGTTTTTATTTGCTTCAGGAACAGAAGTTAAAAGTATGTTCAGGGAAGCTCTTACTGACTTCCAGCTAACCAGCACATACATAAAGTAGGAACTGAGCCAGGTATCTGTGTTGGTGACTTTATGTGAGTATGTGTTATAGGTGTAAGTGTGGAGGTACAAAGCCCATAAACCCGGTGGGGAGGCCAGAGGAGGATGCTGAATGTCTACCTCTCTACCTCCTGCCTTACTACCTTCAGATGGGGACAGACTCTTACCTTTAGGCTAGGCTGGCTGGACAGAAAGCCTCAGTCTGCTCTCCAATGCTGAAGTTACAGGCACACATGGTCACCCTGGATTTTTATGTGGGTGTTGGGAATTCGAACTCAGGTCCTCCTGTTTGCATGGCAAGTGCCCTTACCCACTAAGCCATGTTCCCAGGCCATTAGTGAACATTTTTTTAAGAAGTTGAATCCTGACTGTTCTTGTGAAAAGATGCCTCCAATGTTGTTTCTGTCTGGTGTTCACATGAGGTAATGGTACAGCAGGAAAATGCTTTCCTGTGTTTGTTGACCTCTGTCTCCATGTCTTTGCTGTACACTGCACTGTTATGCACTTGTAGAATAGTGCTATGGAGCAAGCTATAAGTGTTGCCCTGTATCACCGTGTTTGCTGAGAGAAGCAAGTCTCTTTCCTCTTTAGGTGGATGGGTACCACATTCCACAAGGGCAGGGACAGGATTGCTGCTCCTGCTGTGCTTTTGTTCAGGCTGGGAGCCCCACAGGGCAACTGCTTCCTTTGAGTTCACTCCCAACTATAACCCACTTGCTGTTCTCCAAGTATAAAGTCATAAGCCTTGGGCATGTCTCCACTATGGGATGCAGAGTAAAGCCTGGTCTTCTAGGGAAGGAAAAGAAAAAGGGATGACTATGTGGGAAGGTTGGTTAGGAAGCAAGTTATCTACTGGGAAAATGCATTAATAGATACTTCAAGTAAAAAGGGCCGAGTCTGGCTCTGCCCTCCCCCATCTAGCCGCCCTGGCACGTGGCACAGTGTTCCCTGTATGGTAGGAGACTTTAATCCTGAGAAAGAGGAGGTTTGCTTCCTAAGAGAAAATGCAGCATTATATGCTCTTAAAAGAATGAATGGAAAGAAAGGCCATCTCCTCAACCCTAGTTAGAAAGCTGGCTTTCTCAGTGAACACAATAAGCTGCCCTGAGCCTGCCTGTGTCCTGTTGTCTGACACCCATGCAGAGAGAGACCATATTCCCCTTGTACTCGGCAGTCTAAATAGACACAAGCTAGCCTGCATGAGTGTGTGTATCAGGAGGAGCTAGACATGAGTGAGGACTGGGGGCCCGCCCCTCCAGATCAGCACGAGCACCCATGTACATACACATCAAGGGCCTGTGAAAAGTTGTCAGCTGTGTCCCTACTGGGAGAGCCCCTGTATGAGAGCATCCCACTGGGTGCCTTTGAATTCTGTCCTGCAGTTCCCATTGGGAAAGCAGCCTGCCCATCTCTGCCCCATGCTTCTGGGCATCAGCTTCTCTGAATCAGCGGTGTCTTCATAAAGTGTCCCTCTGTAAAGTGCTCTCACCTGACACCTCCCCCTGGTCCTTGCTCTCCTCAATGCTGAGCTCCGTGTTATTAGGGCTGTCTATCACTTCCCAGGGCCTCCTGAGGTAACTGCTTCCCTTGCTTCCTTGGTGGCTGGCTCCTTAATAGTTGCTACTGCTTTCTCCTCCCCCCATGGGCTGGTGCCCA